GGATGGCGATTTTCTTTATCAGAAGTAAATGCGTCTGGCGATACTGTAGATGGTGCTGGTCGGGGACCTGGGGTGTTTGCTTCGTCCAGGTGCGTGTGAGTGAGACGTGCCATCCTCGATCAACGCTCGTTAGTGCGATATGAGATGCAGGTTGTAACAAAGAAAATTCAACAAAGAAAAAAGGGCCAACTAATCGCGTGCGACTACACACAGTAGCCAAATTTAGATAAAGAGTATACCTCGAAATACACCGATCCTTGGAAAAAAAAGTGTGCGGTTACATTTAATGATCGCGAACGCTTTGTCGCGTCGCGTGGACCTTTCACGTGACCTCCCCGCGTCAGTTGCTTATCAGCCATGACGCAGCGACCTGTTGCTCTCCAGACTGGGAACAGAGATGGAAGCCTTCACCTTTGCCGTGACCACTCAAGTGGACATCCCTATACGCATCAAGATGTACGTTCTCCCTCCTGATAATCGAGGTTTTTCTCTCATTGACACATCCACAGTGGCTCGTTAGAGGGGAAGCAGAAGCCGATCCCATGCACGGTGCTTGATGAAAACGCCGAGCTACGGCATATTGGCTCTGTCCAAGACCCCACTTCCGATCTCTATGTGACCGCTCAAATATGGTCGGAGTCCAAGCCATTGGGCGTGCCGATGAAGACCAAATACAAGGCTTTCAAAACCACTCGAGTATGGAATGAATGGCTGGAGATGCCAATGTCTATCAAAGACGCCGAGCGTAATGCTCAGCTGGCAATCACCATTGTTGATATTTCCCCACTCGCTCCCGATAGGATTACGCATATTCCATTCGGTGGAACTACGATCACGTTGTTTGACGAGGACGGAAAATTGAAGATGGGCAGGCAAAAGTGCAGAGTTTATTTACATAAGGACGCAGACGGCTCTGCTACAACCTCTACTCCATCTGTTTTACCACCTAAGCGTCGCAAACCGAATACCCGGGATCCTTCGCAACAGTCACCAGAAGAGGCGGAACTGGAACGGGTCGAAGTCTTGATCAAGAAGCACGAAATGGGCGAGATCCCGCGTGTTGATTGGATGGATCAATTGCTCTTTCGGGAGTTAGAGAAACTGAAGACAAATGCAGATGAAGCGGCTCAAAAGCGCACCCTTGAACTTGACGCAGCCCTGCAAAAAGAGCCGAAACACGGCAAAGATCAGGACGATAGCTCTGATGAAGAGAACCTCGAAGATGAGTATTTCAACCTTTATGTTGAATTTCCACGATTCGATCATCCCATTGTGTGGGCCGATCATGAGTATCCTCCTCCGCCCATTTCCTCTTGGTCTCAAAATGCACCTCCCCACCCCAATGCCACTCTTAAGCCAGTTCCGGAAGTACAATTTGGCCCTGGAATTTCACACGCCGATCCCCATAATATCATTCAAATCTACGATCCAGAGGTTGGCCAAATCGGAAACCCGTGCGAGGACAAGCACCGGCGTTTGATCCGAAGCCATCGAACCGGCATCATGGATCGTGACCTGAAGCCCAATCCTAAGATCAGGGATGATCTTAATATGATTATTTCCTACGAACCGACACAAGACCTCACTGCCGAAGAGAAGGATCTTGTGTGGCGCTTCAGGTATCATCTCACGCGGGAGAAGAAGGCATTGACGAAATTCGTCAAATCAGTCAATTGGCGGGATGTTGGAGAATCGCGGCAAGCTGTTGAAATGTTCCCTAAATGGACCGAGATTGACGTCGATGATGCCCTGGAGATCCTGGGTCCCACCTTCGATAATCCTGCTGTCCGTTCATATGCTGTGGAAACACTGCGGAAGGCAGATGACGAGGAGTTGCTTCTATATCTTCTCCAATTGGTGCAGGCTCTGAAGTACGATGCAACTCCAGATAACCAACCCGATGCGGCTCCGCAGGAGTCCTCCCTTGCCCATTTCTTGATTTCACGTGCAGCTAATAACTTCAAACTTGGCAACTACCTACACTGGTATCTCATGGTCGAATTCGATGATGCCGATGCAATTCAGCGACGGCTATTTGCGCGGGTCGAATACTACTTCATGATTGAACTGGAGAAGCTTCATCCCGAGCATAGAAAGACACTATTGCACCAAGGTGAAATGGTGGCCGTGCTCTCCAAAATAGCCAAGGACGTACGCTTTGCGCGCGAAAACAGAGTTGGCAAGATTGAGATGCTGAAAAAGTATCTCCGTGATCCTGATAACGACCTGATAAACATAGATCCACCGCTGCCCTTGCCTTTGAACCCCGATGTTTCAGTTGTTGGACTATACCCCGAGGAATCGAACGTCTTCAAGTCAACTCTTTCTCCCTTGCTTATCACATTCAAGACTTCTGAAGGTCGTCGATATCCGATGCTGTTTAAAGTCGGTGATGATCTTCGCCAAGATCAATTGGTTATCCAGATCATCATCTTGATGGATCGCCTTTTGCAGAAGGAAAATCTTGATCTAAAACTGACTCCTTATCGAATTCTTGCCACCAGTGCAACGGCCGGCGCTGTGCAATTCATCCCTTCAATTTCTCTCTCCGCGGCGTCAGCCAAGTACAAATCCATCCTCGCTTATCTACAGGCCAACAACCCAGATGAAAACGAGCCCCTCGGCGTCCGCAAAGAGACAATGGATACATATATCAAATCATGTGCAGGATACTGCGTCATCACGTACCTCCTCGGCGTTGGCGACCGGCATCTTGAAAATCTGCTTCTAGCCCCAGATGGCCACTTCTTCCACGCCGACTTCGGCTTCATCCTCGGTCGTGATCCAAAGCCTTTTGCACCCATGATGAAACTTTGCAAGGAAATGGTCGAAGGTATGGGCGGCACAACTTCGCCCCACTATCTGCAATTCAAGCAATACTGCTATACTGCTTACACCACACTGCGGAAATCCGCGAATCTGATTCTTAACCTCTTCAGTTTGATGGTGGATGCTAATATCCCTGATATTCGAGTGGAGCCTGACAAAGCCGTCTTGAAAGTGAAGGAGCGCTTCCATCTTGAAATGACCGAGGAAGAAGCCATCCGTCACTTTGAGCAACTCATTGCAGACAGCGTCAATGCTATCTTCGGTGTTGTGATTGATCGCTTGCATGATTTTGTACAGGGCTGGCGGGCATAAGGTCTCTTCATTTTGAGATTTTGTGGATTCTGGGATGTGTATTTCAAACTCCAAAGGAATCTCCACTCTGATCCTACACACACTTTATTTTATTTTTTTCTGGTTCCGAATTGCAGACATACAGGCGTTTTGGAAATGATGCTATGGGGCGGGAATTTCGCTTCTCTTTTCATGAAGGTCGGCGCAATATGATGGGTTTATAAAAATCAGGATACCCAACCTATATTATTTCGTCTACATAGCAATGATTTCTTGAAGCTTCGATGCAACATAGGTACCCACCTGAACGGGCTCTTATTTACTGTATAATATAGATCTAACCAGGCCAAACCTCCGGTGAAGCACAGGGTGGTTGACGACTAGGGCAGATAGAATTTTCTAGTATGTCAGTCCTATAACCTGCGTCTACATATGGTAAAGGAGAAGTTACTCACAAACATTACGTTTTACAAGAATCACCGCACTCCGGTACCGGAGGAGGTAAATTCTTGTAGCAATTCGAAGTTCCCCCAGCATTGGACTCTAAAGACCAGTCTATGGCAAGATAACGCCGGTGAGAGGACTTTCTACTAGTTTTGTTGGTCAACGACCATGTGTGGTGAACTCGGAGTGCGGTTGATGTCTTACAAGTCAGTCATCATCCCCATATTAATGACACACGATATACGGAGTGTATAGTGGGTAATAATGATTCTTTTCCATCTCCCCACATTTAGTTGTCGGAGCAAGTTGTAATAAACTGTCTCGTAAGCCACACGTAACGTGCAAGGTGCCTCTTCATAGAAACAGATCATTGATATCCCATGATCGAGCCAAACATTCTATAGATCGAGCTTACCATTGACACCGATGTAGTCTGTTCAAGCAATACGATTGAGTTCCTGCTTCTCATGGCACCACCCGAGCCAAGTTGATTTTTATCCAATCGTAAGTCTCATAAGGTCGAAAATAATACGTGTTGTGCATGTCCAGGTGGATCATTGCCGAGCCCTGCAGACCGGGAGATCCTTTTGCTGGCGAGCTCGGCAGTTGTCACAGCACCCGGGGGCTTCGCCGTATATGGCAGTCAAACCCCGTTAAACTCGAACTCGCCTTTCTGTAAACCTCGATCACTTTCGGGATTCCGCATGGTTTCAACATGCTGAGAATGAAATTATATCATGCAAGAATGGCACATTCAACGCCAAGACTCTCATCACTTTAGAAACCTGATTTGCCGATCGTTCGATTTTAATAGGGTGTTTGACCGTAGCTTACTCGGACACCTCGGGATCAAGCCTTGCATTCCCGCGGTTTAGATCCACAGTGAGTAATACCAATACTAATTCACTCACTGCCTCCATGCTCAGGCTGCCCACATGACGGAAAAGTAGTTTTTCCCATGTAAAATGGGGGAACGGCTACCCTAATTGGTAGATATAACGCATCGGATGCAGCATTTTGATTATTAATAAGTTCAATGCTAATTAAACCTTAAGATATTTCGTACAAGTAACGTATTATATGTACAGAGGATCCCCACTAAATGCGGGATTTGATCCCGAGTTGTCCTGGCAGTGTACTTTCCCACACGCTCTACGTAGCGCAGAAAACTTCCTTACTTTTGCACTGAGGCATAATGCCTGGGCCGAGTGCTTTTTCAAAAAGTGTGCGTGAATAGTAGGGCCAGGGCCCTAGGCGGAAGAATCGGCAAAACCTTCAACCTTCGCGACCATTTACAACCTGTATCACCCACGCCTCAGACTATATATATATTCCGATCTTCATTGATATTTCTGTATTCACCATTCATATTATTTCTGCCCTTTTGACCGAACTGCTTCTCACCGAACAAAAAATTGGCATCCTTAAGACTCTTGATGGGGCATGTTATTGACACTACCGAGGTCGAAAGAACCAAAGTGACATCAAACCATCACATCGAGCCAAGCGCGCAGGACAACACTGGCTCATCAGTAGTCTCCCAACTTAGCAATGACTACGCCTCGCTCCCATCACATACTCCCGGGCCATGCCTATCGTGCAGACAGGGAAGCCAGTCTTCTCCTGTCAACGTTCAGAAATTCGCCAACCCTGCTCCCCTAGGTCTTTGTGCATTTGCACTCACGTGTTTTATCTCGAGTTGTATTAGCCTCAATGTGAGAGGTATACAAGCAGCAGGGGTCAGTGTTTCCTTGGCTTTGAACTATGGCGGCATAGCGCAGGTGTTGGCTGGCATGTGGTACGTTTCTATTCATCCTATATATTGGATATCCCCTTGAGACCCTGTCCCGTTTTGTGTGTTATCCAGGGCTAACAAGAGTAGGGAAATGGCGATTGGAAATACTTTCGGCGCGACGTCTTTCTGTTCTTACGGTGCCTATTGGATCACATTTTCTCTAATCTCGACTTTTGATACTCCCAATGCTACGAAAGATACAGCGGATTTGGTCTGCCAGAACGAAACTTTGATGGGTCTGTTTATGCTGGTAAGCCACCCGCATGGAATCTAGGATGCAGACATGATCACATTGTGGAGATATCGACTAAAACTATACGCACAGGCCTGGTTTATTTTCACTACACTGATGCTCTTATGCACTCTCAAATCTAGTCTTGCGATGTTCTCTTTGTTCTTTTTCCTAGACATGAACTATCTCCTACTCGGCGTTGCGCACATTCAATGCAGCTCCCATGGTGCGATCCCGATTGCAGTTCAGAAGGCAGGTGGTGCTTTTGGCATTCTGGCGGCGTTTTCGGCTTGGTATAATGCATTCGCTGGTATTTATAATCCCAATAACGGGTTTTTCATAGTTCCCCTTGGTCACTTCCCTTGGTCTCCGGCTATCCACATTCATCGGGCTAAGGCTAAAGAGGTGTGACCTCAGATTAAGAACAGCCCAAGAATAACAAGTGATTTTTCATAGTACGAGTGTCCGTCTTTCATACGGGTATGACGAATTACGAAGTGAAATCTTCTTGGCCTTGACTGCATTAGATCCCGGTTCTCTATAGATGAAAAGTATATTCTAAAAAACATACTTAAAATTTTGGGCCTCAAAGTAATAGCTGTCAATTTTTCGGCTTAGCGTGGTTCGTCTGGTCCACAACTGGAATTTTTATTTTAGAGCTCGGAAGTTGATATAAGGCCTTAGAGTTGGTGGAACGGTTTGTTAAAATAAGGTTTAACACAATGTTGAAACCATGGGTGGCTTCTATGCTTATTCCCGGCTTCATGAGACGTCCACGGGACGCCTAAAGGTATAGCACATATTTTTAGTATATTTTACTCACAGCCCAAATATACCGATATAAGCACCATGCTTTAGAAAGCGACCAAGAGTTTGAACCCTGCTAATGACTCTCTGTTTCTACTGCAGTCAAGACAGTGGAGCTGTCTCCTTTAGTTTAGCGCATATCCACCCCCTACGATGGATCCCAGGATCGTGAAGATATACAACCCCTTTTTTTCTCCTCTGCATGGGCGAGTAGAGAATTGTCATACAAAGGTCACAGGAAATAAATCCAAAATTTAGAGACCGTGCAAAAGGCCAGTTTTCTGTCAAAATTAATAACCGAAATCAATTAAGGGTGTTTAGACAGGTTGGCTAGGAAATTGTTTACCCAGGCATCATACGTCATAATATGCCTTATCTACTCCATATTAGGGGGAGAATTTCTTACTTCATTATGTATCGAACTACGTATTATACCCGATGGAGCCCGGTCACACGATAAAAGAAGAATTAAAAAAAAATTAAAAAACAAAACAAAAGCAAAACAAAACAAAAACAAAATGTTGGGAGGGGCCGGTTTCGCGTTCTTGCCTCTGATTTTCCTTTTTTTTTTTTTCTCTCTCCACTCATGCACAAAGGATGCCCGGGGATTTAGTTCCTACAATTTAGCTTTAGTGGAGACCTTCTATAGCTACTTGATACACAATAATAACGGAGAATTTAGAAAGGTTTCTAGGTTTCTATACTATGTACCTCATTTCCTTCCTTGCTACCTGGCACACTGATATCTCCCCCAAGATATCTATGTTAGCAAATAATCAAGAAATGAGGGAATGATAAAGTGCACAGATATTTACGGATAGTTTTCGATGTGCCAGGGCACGCACCCTAATCAATAGGCGTGGAGAGTACATAGTCGAAGAACTAAATCATACCCCCGAAATACTAGCAGTGTTTTGTATATAATTCTCATACGAAAAAAAACCTTTATAAATTACTGGGTGGGACCGCATAGGGTGCTGGTAGGCGATTGGACTTTGGGTGTGATGTACCGGGATACGCGGCAGAAGGAAAATTTAAGTGCTACATTTTGGACTAAAGAACAAAAGACAGGCGAAAAAACGAATGAAGTCATAAAAAAACCCCCAAGATTTATTGGGCTAGAGAGCAGATGGAGAGAAGTGAAGGGCAGGGTAAGAAAATAAAAGAGTGAGCAAACGTAAATAAAAAAAATTTGTGGCTGAATCCTTTGCCCGCAATTCTCAATAAACCTTTTTCAAAAATATTGATCAATGTAGATTTGAAAAAATTACCATTGACACCCCCCAAAAAAACCCCCAATCACATAGAATATTAGGTATGGTGGATCCTTGTGGCTTTCGTCTATCCTGTAAGCCATAACTTCACGAAGGAAACGAGTGGAAGAAGATCCCCACGTCAGATCAGTGGAACTCGGTAAAAATGATGGTATGTGGTGATACGAATCCTATCCCAATTTAGACCAGCGTTGAACTTGGGTACAATTAAAAAATAATAATTGGAGTACGGCCGAGATGGACCAGAAGGGATCTTCGGAATTCGAATGCATTGATTGAATTTGATTTATAGACTAGATATTTAATCATTTATTTATTATTTATTTAGTAATTTAGCGATTTACTTACCGTTTTAGGGGCTTGTTGGATTGGAGTGAGCTTGGCGTCTGCAAAAGCTGTCGAAACTGGATTGGACTGTATACCGTACAGACAACCAACAATCTTTGGGTGGAATCTAAGACGCAGGGCCGACAATACGACAGCCTATGACAGCCCAGCCCATCCCATCCCTTAGCATATTGAACCGGGTCCCTGCCTGCTCCACAACGACGAACCGAACCTAGCCCGTGGGTGGCCTAAACCTTGAAATTGTATGCATGGGTGTCAATGTGTAGTTTTCTACTCCGTACAGAGTAATGAAAACTAATATATGAAACTCTTCCACCCCTTCTCCACTACATAGCATTTGGTAAATGTTTCTGCCTAGTCCACACGACACCTGTCTGAGAACCCTTCTATACGAATTTGCAGTACGATGTTCACATAGAGATGGAGACAACTTTGAAGTGGATAGGGAGGAAACATATTGATATTAAAGTATGCACGTACATTCATACAGCTAGTAATGTAACTTACCAAGACAAGGCCTAGCCGCACCGAATATACCGAATACATCTAAATTCCTTTCAGGGACATAGCGCGGAGTATAATGCCCAGCCACACATTCGCCCCAATCCGCAGCAGCCCCTTCACGATGCGGGTGATTACCGAGTCTCGGGGGATTATATGCCCACTATTCTTCACTTACATTGGGGGCCCACCGATCTCCCGGGACTCCTTCCGGAGAAGGAGGCAAAGTTTCCCTTAGGGCGCACGTAGTGGACGTTCTTCGCGGGTAGCCGTCGGACAGAGCTCCATTCCTCTCCACCTCATCCCCCAGGGCTATATCCTGTACACACATATTCCGTCTGATGATTGTTGTTGTTTTCGCCTCTGGGTAAATATAACATGCACCGGATCAATGCCTGACTGCTCCGTAGAAGAAGATCTAAGGGAATTCACGAGGTCCCAAAAATTGTAGATCAAAATCCACATATGAAACACACTATGTTCTTGCACCCAACCACATTGTCTTTTTTGGGGAGGTATTCCTTTGAACCTAGAGCGGCCTTCATTGGACAGGTTAGGTGGAGCCCGTATACGCAATCCAAAAATATATAAAAAAAAAAAAACAAAAATTGAGAAAACCTCGAAGAATAAAATAAACTGGAGGTGGAGGGTGGAGCTTATACAAAGTACTGGTGCATATGTAGTCATAAAAGGTATACTCCGTAGTCCGGCTTCTACTCCATCATTTGCCTTTTGGCGCTAGCGGGGTGGGTCAGGGTCCGAGGCTGAGTATTTTAGCTGTACGGAGTAATAGTTGTTATAATGGTTGTAATGGCTTGTTATGCTTTGAACTTTCCCACTGAAATTGCTTAAATCCGAAGACTTTCCTCGGTGTTACAACCTTTTACAGCAATTTGTCCGCTGGGATTTCGTCTCCCGGTTGAGTATTTCGATTTTCCGTATTGTTCTGCTACCTTTTTCATTACACTACGTGTAATCTAGGCTACCCGACAGTCTGGGTACCGGCGGGCGATCATCAAGAGAGTCATCTTCGGGGCGATCCTGATCTATGCCAATCGAAAATCCATTAAAATCCACTAAAAGTTGTATCTTTCGTTCAGATTTTGCCAACACCGTTACCCCGTTATTGTATGATAGAATTACAGTCTAAGTCTGTCACAATCACCTTGGTGACATATCTACATACACCCGTGCTCTGTGCGGATCTATCCTGTCACCTTCTGCACTGTTTGTCTTCATATTCGAATAAAACTTGGGGTGGCCATAAATATTTCAACTTCCCCCTCCTCTTCCCCAGCATGAAAATACTCCAACCCAATCCCCGCTCCTTTACTCGAGATCCTTCCCCTTGTCCAGCTTTACTTCTATATTTACGTCTGTCGCTCCTGCCGTTGATATTTAATAATGACACGGTCGCTAGACGATATCAACCTGGATAATCAAACCCTAGATCATCTCTTCGAGTTCGATTTGACTACCTTTGGCTCCGTTTATCCCCAACCGTTCCGTGCTCGTCGATCACCCACTGTGGCAGATACATCCACGGCTCGTGCATACCAACCTAGATACAATCCGTACGAGGAATTGTTGACACCGATTGGTGGACATTTCGTGCCTACAGCTCCGCCGACTCATCGCCGTCCGAATCAGAACATACAGTATCATACTGTCAGCGATAATGACCCTCGGGCCCTAGCTATACCTTTTCACGGCTCTGCGGAATATTTCAGTCGTACCGCCCCTCTCGTGGCTTCTCCATTGCAATATCCCCAACCAAACCAGAACACCGCGCAGTACTTTACTGTCAACAGCAACGATCCCCAGGCCCCGGCTACGGCGTTTGATAGCCCCCGGGATAGCAGCGCTTGTACCGCGTCTCCCGTGCCTTCTCCTCTTGGGCAGGTACAACCTCAGCAGGGGCCTTCCCGCTCAGAAGTCATTGCTCTAGGAGCCTTAAGCAATGGTTCTACCAACGACAAAGCGCCCCGTAGCCCTAACCACGGACATGAGCAAGCGTGAGCCACCCACCCCCAGTCTAACGTGAAAGGAGAGTGAACGGCTTACTGACAAGTATTCAACTATTCCAGTAACTCGAACAACGATATTCGATGCGACTGGCCGGGCTGCTCGTACCATGGTACCTTCACGAAGAAGGGATCGTTGAAGCGCCATCGCGATGAACAGCATACTTCCCCACGCTCATTCCCTTGCCCATTATGTGAAAATGCATATTCCCGAAAGTCTCATCTGAACGATCACCAGCTGAAGGCCCACGGAATACGAGTTTACGTTCAATGAATACGGTTTTGGGATTTGGGATTTGGAACATTGAGGTCTATGTTAGTGATAGAACCTAGATTTACATGAACGGGCATTATAATTGGGTTTGTCTACGGAAACGGCGCGGCGATCGGGCTAAAATTATAATTTTTAGCAGGAGCATGGGATATTTGGATGTTTTGATATATGGGTTCATGGGAGGGTTCATGGAATGGTGCTTGGGAGGGTTCATGGGAGGGTTCATGGGATGGTTCATGAGATGGCTCATGGGATGGCTCATGGGATGTATGTGACACATAAGATGTACGGGTGATGCACGTCACAGACCTTAAACTGGGTAAGCTCTACCCCATTAGAGGTTGTGTGATACCTCATCTCGCCAGAATGGAGAAAATTTTATATGTTCTATCGTATGTACTTCTATAGAATCTCTTTAGCAGTGTATTCGAGAGGAATACACTCGCTACCGCGCGCATGTTTCACAGAATTGTATCGGCAACACATGGATTCGAAACGCACGGTATGTACATGGCCTAATACTATTGTGGGGTAGTGAAAATACAGCGAGGCAACGGCGAGGCAACAAGGATCTTTTAGGGACAAGGAGGCGAAATGCGTGCTCGTGGTGAAGTTCCTTGATTCTGATTCAGGCGGGAGAACAAACCTTGAAATACAAAGTTAGACGAATTTCTAAATACTATAGGCCAGACCTTGTAGACCTACTAAAGGTACCTTTTATACAAATATACCTAGCTTGATCACTCTAGGAGTGGGAAACACCGGCTCTGGGGGTTGGTTAGCGGTCCATTGGGAAATACGGTGGATCAAAAGAAGAAGGGAAAAAAAAATTTTAAGATTGAAAAGATCAAAATAAAAACAATAAAAAAAGAATACACTTGGCGAGACAACAAGCAGCAGAGGTCCGAGTCCACAGATAGACCGCTAGGACGGACCCCTGACTTTTTATTCGCTTGAAAATGACATCCGGCATGCGCAATCTCTGAGAATCCTGACGCGTTAGGTTACTTTCTAAATGGATCCGATAGGAGAAAATCTCGGAGATTTTGGCTGAATTACAGTTATTGTGGTAGCTCAGAGGCAGTTCGATTGAAAATTTGAGGATCTCAACTAGGATTTCGGGACTTTCTTGGGTATGTAGTAGTTAAGCGTGAAGAGAAAGCCCTGAAGAAAGCACTGCCCGGGATGGTATCTTATTAATACAGACATAAATCCAAGTATTTCAAAATTGGAAGTAGCCTTGAAATGTGGAAATTGTCTGGTGATTTCACCCGGTCTTCACCCAGTCTGTCCACGTACAGTCGCCATGAAGTCGAGAACTGGCCAGGCATTATTGGCCCGAATTCCAGCCAACGTGTCAACGGGTTCCTGCGTCTGAACTTATGTATATATTATTATTATATATCTAGGGTTTAACATCTGAAACCCTCATTTTCTACACCGCTAGGATTTGGTGGGTCATTGGCGGCTGAAACCCCCGGAGAGTACATCCCTCGTCGCGTTGAAGCATGCATCCGGATATAAAGGGAAGTAGGAACTATTGATCTTTGTTAATTGGATAGCCCTTCAGAATAATGCCTTTGATTTTGTTCCCGTAATATTTATCTGTTGAGGATATTTTGTATTTTTAGCAGCCTTCGCTAATTGGGTGTAAATATGCAAGAAAAGAGCACGAACAATCCAAAAGGGAAATGGGTGGCCACAAAGATAAATATTTTTTTATAAAAATAATCAAAATCAACAGAATCTATCCCCGTTCCTATCTCCGCTTTGCGCTACCTATGCACAATACACCCACGTTGTGGTGATCGCTTTATATAAAATGTTAATGGGTAGTAGTAGAAAGTTATCAGGTGTGAAATCTACTCTGTATTACCTTTAGAGTAATATTCCGTATCCCTGGCACGTTCTACCATATGTGTATATATGAAGGTGTTAGGTTTATCCACGATCCCGTTCTCTCGGTTATCAAATCGAATGCGTATCACAAGAAAATGAACAGGATTCGCACGTTCTCATGGCCCCCAACAACTACCCCGAACCTTCTGAGCTAGACTTTGGGGGGAAAAATAAGAAGTTTTTTTTTTTTTTTTTTTTTTTGGGATTATTATTATTAAAAAAGGCCAAAAGGAAAGGAAATTGAGATTGAGGAAGCTAGTGTCAAACCCGTCCCTGCGGCTCCCAGATTCGGGGGGGAGGGGGGCGAATGATTCGTGTGCCTAATGAACCAGCCACGGACACCTCTTGATCTATCTGTAATGTCGATCTATTTTTTATTTCACCTCTTTTTTTCTGTTGATATTTAGGTGAAATTCTGAACTACTTCGACTGAAATAAATACCCAGGAATTTCTCTTCCCCATGATGTTACAAAAGCCAAACCCATTTTCCTTTTCTTGGTATTTATTTTCCTCTATCCTTCGATTGAGGGTTGAACATGGCGTGGTCGCCACATAATATGGACCCGTATACATTTGGATTTGTTCCCCAACAGGAAGAGAGCACTCCCGGTTCCATTTATCCCCAACCAGGGCTTATTCGTCCTGGTGATGCCTCCGCGTGGGATTCTTCTCCCTGGGTGCAATACTACCCGGATTATGTGAATAGAAACAATGCACAGTACCTTGTTGACAACAACGACCACAACGACTCCCAGACGGTACCCAGGGCATCTTTCGGCTCTGCGATCCATACCGCAAACACCACCCCTCTCGTGGCTCCTTTCACGCAGGAACCAAATTTGCAGGAGCCTCTTGAACCGGAAGCCATAGGCAATGGCATTAACAGCGACGAAAACTCCGATGTCCATCGTCAGGAGCGTGAACAAAAGTGAGTTATCAACCTCGCAGTCTCGTACGAGGAAAGAGAGCCACTAGCTAAGAATATCCAACCATTCCAGCACTCCAGACACTGTTATTCGATGTACTCGGTCCGGCTGCACATCTACCTTCAAGGCCAAAAAATCGTTGACCCGCCATCTTAAGGAAAAGCACGGCCCGGGTTCTTTCCCCTGCAGAATTTGTAAAAAGCGCTTGAAACGAAAGGTCAACCTGAAGAATCATATGCTCAAAATCCATGGGGTGCAAGTTGAGGCTTGACGTTTTGAGACAATTCTACTAGGGCGGTTGGTATCGAACTACGGTTTCTATTTACTCGCCTGTTGTTGGAAAGGTTTATGGAAATAGCATTGCGATGGGGTGGAATTATGGGATATGGGATATGGGACAATGTACAACAGATAATGCTTCAGTAATATGTAATATGTAATGGATATCTACAAGATTTTGTTTAATTTCCATACCCCGTAGACAACAGACAAAACCATCTGAGCTGGGGCTGCCAACATAGTCGATAGAACAGTAGCCAGATGACCCATCTACGCCAGGCGAGGGAAATTTGACTAGATTCCGTTGAAAGGAGTCCAAAAAAGTGTCCACTTGATGGAGAATTTAGAGAGATTTCTGAGTGGATGTTCTTAAGCCCAAGATGAACCTAGCGCGCGCGGAGGAAGGGTTCCCACCAAAGCCAAAGGCTAAGCGGACGACGTTTTTCGTCCGTTTCCAAGGCCAGCGAGACGTCACCTTAGTTATTTGTGGGTGATCTTCTAAAATAGTACAACCCAAATGAAGTCATTTTCTGGCTAATCTTGTCCAGAGCGCATTTATAGCCGCTAACTTAGGGCTTCTATGCGCCTTAAGGATCTGAAAGAGATGGATACTATCTCGGGTGCCATTGGGTGGATGCTAGGCAACAGACTCTTTACCTTATAAAGTCAGAATCTATCTGTCTGAGGAGGCTTATAAAGCTCTAGCCGTCATAAGGAATGTACGCTGTTGCGATCATGTCGACATGATTCATGTCGACGTAATGTTCACCGCCCGCCCTACCGCCTTCGACATTTTGACGGGTTTTTTGTTGCCTTCCGCGGACCAGCTATTTTATTTCTTCGATCATCCAGTCCCTCCAGACCGATCATCCACTGCTCCGATTAAAATGAATCGTATTTCACCAGACTGAACAACACTCTCCCTTCAACGAGCTTCAATGGCCCAGTTCGTTCCACGCAATGCATTCCCCCATTATGGGGCTATCCCAAGGTCCTATTTCTTGGGACACCACAGGGCTGGTCTGACCAAAATGAAGAGCATGCTCTCCACTATCGACTATGTTGTCGAGTGTCGTGACTACCGAGCCCCCGTGACCTCGATCAACCCGATGTTTGAGGAAGCTTTGGGCAAGATGCGCCGACTGATCGTCTACACTAAAAGAGATCTGGGAAGCATTCCCAAATCATCTGCCCAGAAGATAGTAAGTATTTTTCTCTACCATGAAGTCAGATAGTAGGCTGTTATTGGATATCAGCTAACACAGCCGCAGACAGAGCGCAAATTGCAAAGTTTTGATCCAAAGAGCGCCGTGTTCTTCACAAGCTCATCCTCCCGCCCAGACGTCAGCCAGATCATCAAACACCTTCGAAACGATGCTGAAGCTCCCGATAAGTTAGTAGGCTGTCGAGTGTTAGTTGTCGGAATGCCCAATGTTGGCAAGTCAACACTGATCAACAACCTACGCAACTCGGGAACGGGCAAAGCCAAGGCTTTGAAAACCGGACAGCAGCCCGGTATCACACGCAAGATAGCCACGCAGGTGAAAATTATTGACCGCGAAAATGGGTCACATGTCTACGTTTTGGACACGCCGGGAGTGTTCATGCCGTACGTCCCGGAGGCGGAGAATATGCTCAAGCTGGCTCTCTGTGGCTGTGTGAAGGACAATGTCATTTCACCCATCACCCTCGCGGACTATTTGTTGTATCATATAAACTTGAATGATCCCACAGTATACAAGCGCTGGTCGGAACCGACGAATGATGTGGTCCCGTTAATTGAAAGTTTTGCGCGCCAAACTGGTCTGCTTGCAAAAGGCGGAGTGCCAATGATGGATGGGGCTGCACTTCTTTTTATTCAGAAGTGGAGGCAAGGAGAGCTTGGTCGATTTTTGGTGGATGACCTAGAAGCAGAGCAACAAAGACGGGAAGATCCTACACAAACACCACGCATGAGCATGACGCAGGCCTTGAGGGTGGAAAGGACGACTCGAAAGAATAAACCGGATGCAACTAGCGATCTGTAAAATACTGTATATATAAGGAATCTGCCTTGGAAATATTGGTGGATATTTTGGAAATAATAATCAAGTGATGTCATTACGAACAAACGGAGCATGATGCTTGAAATGTCAAGGTTTTGTAGAAGCACCTGTAACGCCAACCCCAAGCAAAGGACAGAAATGGAAGCAAGGAAGCTTGGACGTAATTTCTAAATCAAGAGATCTTGTCTAGAAGGCGGCGGCGCCGCCTATCCACAAGCTCTTCCTGGACCTCGTCCAGCGTCGGGAGTCTCCATTCCACCCCGTCGCCCGCATCACCAGGTAGAGATTGCCAGCCATCTTCAGCATCATCCTCTCCTTGATGACGCAGGTGTTCAACAGACTCCTTCTCCTTCTGCTTCTCATACGCCAATAACGTGCCATCTTCTTCGTCAAGACCATAGCCGAAGTAGTTGGCATCGACCTTCCTCGTCGCAATATCTCCACCACGGCCAGACACAGCCTCTTCCTCCGCCGGTCCTTTCGCGCGAGTAATTGCAGCCTCGATCATTTCTTTAACACCAGGTAGGTCCCGGGCACGGCCGAAATATTTATAGCCTCTGCCTCCGCCGGGGATCTCGCGCCCTTCGTCATCGTAAAGTCTGCTCGATCCACGCATGTAGTTCGGTCCGCCCAGGTTGCGGATTTGCATTTCCCACGCCCATTTCTCCCGCATGAGCTTGTTGATCTCATCGTTGAGGTCGCGGATTTGGTAGTCGCTCAGACTTTGCTCGTGAATGCGTGATACTTTGCGCGAAATTTCTTGGAGAACTTGTCCGCGCCAGCGCTCGCATTCTGGCACCGTGTCGACGGATGTGATGGCCTTGGGGCGTCGTGTACGCGAGATATCAATGATTCCGAGGTCAGCTGCTTGTTGCGCACGGAAGCGGAACAGCATCGACTGCGCTTTTTCACTGTTGCGTGCCTGTTACATACCGGGGGCTTGGGTTAGCAAAATGTGAATCGACTCGGATATATGGATTTTCTCGTGGGTTTGAGTTGAGAAGGGTGAGGCTCACCATTTTGAAGAATTGACCAAGTCAGCGACCCGAAGAAGTCGGGTATCGTGGGCGTTGGCAGGGAAGAAATCCGGCGAGGAAATCATGAGCTTGACAGCTTGAAGTGAAGTCGCGCGCTAATTGCCGCGTAGCCGCGCGGATATCACGTGTCTTTTTTCCATTTACCTTCAACGTCAATCAACCATTGAACAGCCACATATATTTGGCGTGGTGACGCTTTAGAACTTACCATTTGTTTTCTTAAATCTCCCACAAAAATATAAAAATTTTCCCATAGTCTTTTCCGTGTACCATGTTTTATTCACAACCAACAGGCTACGTCATAATAGACAACTAGGGTTTTCTACTTGACTCGCCTGTCCAATTGTAAGTGGGAATGTGCAGAATTTACATAATCTCGAGTTGTATTGCTCTAAAGAATATGGACAATTTCAGCTCACATTTTAGATACTATATAGATTTGACGAAAATTTGAAAAATATGAGTCTCGCTAATAAAAATCCGAATATCGGAGCAGTTCCAGCACAGCATTGTAGCAGATGATACTCTCTACGTCCACTATACATTTCCAGAGTCAACATCGAGATTACTCACTTTAGAGAGGGAAATAATCAGCAAGATGTATATTATTGCAGGCTCGGAAACAGGAAAAGAGCCGGTTGATGTGGTCTCTCCAGATAGATGCACAGTCTATAGTTGAGTCAAGAAATAGTACAACCTATCCGAAGAAGAGAACTAAAAACAAATAAAATGGGGAGATTGGTGAGTTGTTACATTCTCGTCATTGTAGATAGCATAGTCCACCCGTAGAGCATATTTACTCATAAACAGAAACGTGAGACAAAAATGAACGCCGGAAAATACAGACCAAGGGACAAACGCTTGACCCTTCAAACAATATGAACAAGCCCAAGGCCAGCAGAAAATACTGCAACATCCCTTTCCCAGATGCAAATAAACACCATTAACGCAAAACATCCATCCATAACCAATGTTACAACTCCGGGCAGAATCAGCCTGCTAAACATAACTCAAGGCCTGTTCACAAAAAGCCCTTGGTGTTGCTGGGTTGCCGTTGGGGAATGTCATTAGACCCATAGGCAGCACTCCCACGACGGCTTCCAGCATCACTGAAAGCTACTGGACCACGCCCAATAGTACTGCCTCGCTCAACGCGCAAGGCCTTCCAGCCCTCTAGCTCGCGTTCCAGACGCAGTGCTTTCTCACGCTCTTCGCGGAGATCTCGCTCGGCGCGGCGGGCCAGCAACTGGGCGTCCGAGTCGTTATGCTGGAGCTCCTCGATGTTGCGAAGGAGCCGTTCAATCTTATCCCGAGCTCTGTTGACATCATCATTCAGCTGGGCGTTCATCTTGTCTCGCCTCTCGATCTGAGATTGGAGGTCCTTGACAGTGCGATCAACATTGCGAAGCGAGCGCTGCTCGGAGCTGTGCTTGTTCTCCTGGTCTTCCAGGTGAGTTTCAAGCTAAGGGGCCAGGTTAGTACAAAAGTCATAAAAATAGAGCATAGAGCTAGTCTAACTTACCTCCTTGATTCGTTTATGCAAGAAGCGAACGTCTTGACTTCCAGAGGAATAGCTCTTGGTTTCGAGATCAACACATCGGAGTTGAGCCTCCTTCAGCTGCTTCTCAAGTGCCGCCTTGTCCTT